ATGCGTTACAAAGTTCTTAAAGTTCGAACTGAAATAAATCTCTATAAAGAAATTTGCACGTATGTCATTAGCATAGAGAAATTGAGTTTTTCGATTGCCGGATATGTATGTACATTGTTGCCTCTAGTCGTCGTTCACAGCGATAAACCAGCGTTCAGCATTCCATCACGTGTTTTTTTCCACCTGATTAATCGTTCCATAGCTATATAAAGCAAAAAACCTGGACCACTACATTGTCTGTTATTAGCGACCGCGCTGAAACACTAAATCTGAAAGTGACTGAGCGATCTGACCAGACTCTACCGAAATATTTATGATATATTTTATTGTTGTTTAGCGTGTTTTTCCCTTCTCGAATTGAGGCTGATGAACCGACAAGCTGGTGTAAATGATGGTGGTGGCGTTAGGTGTCATTGCTGTTGAGGATGATGATGTCTTTCCTCTTGACCTCGCCCGCCAACTAATCCCACGTACTTCTCTTCAACTCGCCTGTCAATAGCAGCTTAAGGCAGCGATTAGTTGTGCGACCTGCAAGGCTTTCAGTGGAATTAATGGGTGGGATATGGCCAGTGCCGCACGAACATTGTCCCTGAAGTATGGCTTGGACCCTATTTACGGCCAGTTAAAGGGGTAGATATAACTAGAGTTTGGAGTACCATAACGCACCAGCTCGCTTTTCTTTGCCTCTTCATTCGAGCAAACGCTTGAAGGCCTTGCGTTTACGATGCGCGATAGAAGAAAGGTATTCGCAGGACATTTGCAGAAGCATCGTAAAAGATTATTGGTGAAGCTGCGATGAAAGACAATGTAAGCAGGAGCGCAATGCAGATGAGCTGGGTAATTGTCTAGGTGATAAACGGCAAGAGGCCATTAGAGAGAAAGCAAACTGCCCAAATCATTTGCTAAGATTTGGGACGCATCATCAGTGAGAATACAAATCACCAAATATTAGCACACTACTCTTGCGGGGCAGGCCACCTTCTAGCTCTCTGGTCCTAAACAATACATTCTCCATTTGCGAGAGATTTGTTATATAAGCGTCAATGGGCATCTGATCAAACAAGTTGTAGTTTTTTTTATAGGCTATGCCGGTTATGTTACAGGGTATTCATTTTCATTGATCTCCAATGTTCTGTTATAAAAATACTTATGAGGTGTGTTGAAGCTGTTGACGGAAGCCTGGCATTTATTCTAAGTCTAACCCCACTTAAACTAGAAAACTAATACTTCAGCAATAGATATGGACAAAGTAAACACTTGATACATGCAAATTATCTATACAATAAAAATGATGCAACTAGTGGTAACTTCTACAATCAAATAAACAATAAAAGTACAGCAGTTATTGTCTATTACGGTTTATTATTAAACGGTATTAGGTTACTCTCACATACAGTGTTCTGCAAGCTTCACATGAAGACGCAAGAAAATGATAGAGATAATTGTATAGCAACAAAAGGAAGAAATTTGTTCAAGTTGAATTCACATAATTTATAGTGGGTTCAATAACTTCAGTTGGTTCCCGCATTACAGTCTACAAAAGTAGAATGTGCAGCGTTAAATGTTTAATTTTTCGTTCTTTATTTCTACAGCAACAAAAGTGAATACTAGATAAACATAAATACGAATGGTGCCTGCAGCTCAAAACAGGTTATTGTGGTTCTGGCATTATCGGATCACAGTCCGCCAGATCATTTCCGCTTTTCTTTACTGACTTATCTGTATTCAACCAACATAACGAACGTCTAAGTTCCGCCGTTACGCGGCGCTTAACTTTCATGGAATTCTATCCCTCCTAATGTAACTCATAAAAAGCGTATGCTGCAAAAATCACCGAGCGTCTGCCGTCGAACCGTACGATGCCCATATTGTTGCTACTCCGTTTGATGAAGCCGAGCGAGTACTGATGACTCCTCAAAAAGCGAGTCGGTCTGGCAGGTCGATCCATTACTAGACGATGATAGTGAGGCTGATCATGATAATCTGACCCGCTAAAAAGACAAATTTGCATCGACGTCCGCTTGTTTCGACCTGTCTGCCTTCAACGAAGGCTGCGGTGAGTTTGCTTTCACCGATCCAATCGTCACTACTTGTAGCCGTTCTTATGGTGAAGGTTTGCTCAATAGTTCGGATTGTGTTACGCCATGCTACTGTTAGTCGAATTCGAGTCGAAGTTGAACATGTCTTAGAACGAACGTGCCGAATAATAAGAAACCAAGGTATTTACGTTCGACACTAAAGTGTCTTTAACGTTAGCGTTGCGTGAAACCTTCCCTCAAATGAACAAATGATGTATACAAAAGCTTTTACTGTCTGACCTGCAACATGCACGCCCTTCCACGCCTACTCTTTCCTACTTAGGATATTAAGCATCGATTATAAAGACCATCAATTGACATAACATCGTCCCCTGACACTCAAACCCCGATTATAGATAGACTGTGCGCCAAACCAGACAGTAATGAAGCTGTGACCCTAAATCAGGAGGAGGGATCTGTGTAAATCTCAGCACGCCAATCACACTTCGCATTTGGAAGAAATAAGATGAGCACTCGCTTTTTTGCGACGATTGTTTACTCTGTATGCCTGTGTTCGCCAATGACATCGAAGGTTAAGGACTGCTTTGATTTTATCGACACTGAGCAAAACCGCTAAAAGTTCATGGACGATGAATATACCGAGAAAGATTCGTCTCTCGATGAAACTGGATAACACGTTTGTCGTCCATTTCATGACTGAATAGAGGTTGCGATGCTCCGTTTGTATCTGCTTGGCATGTGTTAGGTACCGCAAACCATAACAGCGAATTACAAGCGACCTCAATACCATTAAATCTGTGTGACGATAGTTAAGTTTTGAAATTCTAAATCTTGTTAGGCTGTATTCTTCAGACGAGCATATTTTTGCCATGGCGTCTCTGATTTGATCGAATGATAGAAGGGGCAGCGCTAGCTTCCACAAAACAACCAGTATATTTGAAATATGGAGTGTGTCTTGCGACGCGCTCAAATGAATCTGCACATGATTAAATTAAAGTGTAAAACGTGCAATAGAAAACAAAGTCATAACGGAAATTACCCTTTTATATTACAAACTCGGCGTGAATGCACTGCAGTATGATGTTAACTCCGCGGCCGTGGCGGCTATCATTCTAATTTTTAATCACAGACCTATTTAGTGTGAACGACGTGACATGTTTAAAACTGGATGCTGATATCGCCAAATCGGAACGACAACAGAGAAAGCCTTACTGCGTCGAAACTGGACTCTAGAATGAACGATGAGCCGTCAACAGCAATAGACGGCAGAAGACTCAATAGTGCGGCTGCTGCTACAAAGGCCCATAACCGTGACAAGGATATAGTAATAATAAATAATGCGTAAAGCGGTTGTGGCATTGCCGTGACAGCGCCATCAATCTGAGGCACCTATCAAGATAACTAGTGTACTGTCCGGCAACAAACAATCAGATTGAGTTTCTGTTTCTTTTTACTCGCTAACTAAGTCTAGTACAGCTCATTTCATTTGGACTATAAAAATAACGATTGGAACAGACGAGGTTTGAAACACCGACAAGGCACCTATACTGGAAAAAACCAATAGATATTATGCTATGTAATCGAGATGAGCGATTTAGTTCACTTAGATGCAATAATATGCACAGCAAGGAAAACCAAAAATGATGAAAGGCTGACGATGATAACGCTAAAACAACGAGGAATTAATGGGACCACTCTCTGATATTGCATTTTCTGCATGCATATGAGATCGGCGTGACTTCGATGAATATAAGCAACGCGGTCGAATCATTAAGGGCGATTACGAAGCGCTATGGTAGCAATAGCTGAGTTTCTATATCGACTTAAGTAACCAATGTAACTGATAGCGATTCTAGCGAAGTCTGCTGTTTTGACCGTACGGGAGGCCAAAATCATCATTGCTATGTAGAGGTTCAAGCAAGAAACTACAGCAGCGGCAGCAACAGTAGCGACGACAACAACGACACCAGCAGCAGCATCAGTTCGAAAGATCATATGGCCCAGGAGTAAGAAAGAGGGTGGGACAGCAGGAGGGAGTACGCGGCGTTGCCGTCTCATCTCCGTGAGGCCGCGTCGCTGCTTCTCCCGGACAACTCCTCCTTGGCGAAAGAAGGAGAAAGTGGAAGAAAACGAGGAGTAGGAGAGCGGCAGATGTCGAATGGTGATGCCATGCGGGCGGTAAGCACTACGGCAGCAATTCAACCCGAGTCGCAGCAGTTATTCGCCCAGCACAGCAGCTCACCAGCGAGTAGACAAAGCCGCTCGGCCGCCTGAACAGCCTGAGCGGCGGCCGAGTAAGAAGCTACAACGCTAAGCCCAGCATGCGCCAAAACACATCTCTCTAGCAGCGGTTGCTGGTCGCTGAACGCATCTCCAGAGAAAACATTCATAGGAACATCACAACAGCAGCAGCAGCATCGATATCGCCTTGGAATAAGATACCTAACCTTTAAGCCCGGTCAGATAGCAGGCTTCGTTACGCCGATTCACTATATAAGCCAGCTTCATAAGACCAGCCTCTAAGTCTGCCGTTACTTTAACTACGGTATCATAGTAACGTTACAATGATCACTACACAAATATTGAGCATTTACTGACTGTAACGATAACACTAGCGCCAACTTAGAATGGATCACTAAGTATTTTAACAACATGTTTTTCTTAAACAACAACAAGCTCTGATAGAGATTATTTTATTGTTCGAGTAATAATGTGGCGTTACATCTGACCATATATATTATGTGCAGGCCGACGGTGAAGCACATTCTAACGAATACCAAAATGCTCACGCTGACAGTGTCAGTAAAAGCGCTCTGTTTCCGCAAACATTTAAAAAGAGAACGACCCTTATTTATCTATCTATCTATATACTGTCGAGATGTATGAATACAATGATGAAACTAAGTTTGAACATAATCTAATGTTAGGTATGTAAGCATCAGAAGGATAAAGTGTACATACCCTGGGGACATTGTTATCATTGATGTCCCAATCTTGATGATTTAACACACCGTGGTGCAGTACGGTTGGAGCGGGAGGTGTAAATTGACTGGACGGTCTTAACTTGCTGTTGGGGGAATTTCCAGAGCAGGAATCCAGGAGCGACGCGAAACTCGACTCGGCCAACGTAGGTGAGCAGCTCTTGGCCATGAGGCCCCGCTCGCGTTCCGGCAGATCCGGAGAGCCCAGGCCAGCCTGGACCATGGCCGAAACCTGAACACCGGGGGCAAACAACCTTGAACCTGTGATAGTAACTTCTTCGGATGGAATAAACTGGTCTCGGAGCTTCAGACAAGGCTCTTTGGGGGCTATTATCGTTTGCCCCCAAATGGCCGTGCAGCTTCAATAAGGCAAGACAGAAACAACCTTACCCACAGTTCCAGTCAATTTCAACATTTGCAGCTTCAGATCTAAACGCGCACTACAGCTTCGAGAAGATATTGGACTGTCATCAGTCTTCACATCCCCATCATTATATGAAGAATTCTCTAAACAAATTATTTAATATAGAGGATCATCCACCTTATTTACCAGACTGCGCAATGGTGAAATCAGGCGCCGCCGTCAATCGTAGAGCACTGACTGAAAACGAACAACAAATAGACCGGCAATTTGAAAAAAATAAATGTTAATTAATTTCGAAATGATATGCTTGATGTAGGCGTTTTAATCATTTTTAGATAGTTGCATTTTGATGCAGAGATTTTAAAAGCGGATTCATCAAAAGTAATATTGAGGTTCTAAGGCTCTGTCGAATTCAAAATCCTTCATTCAAAATATTCAAAATTCTAACCTCTTTTGTGGCCAGTTTTACTGAGCTAAAGCCCAGAACTATTTTAAGCCTGAAAACGATGTGTGAATAAAAAGTCGAAATTGCGATGACATAGTGTAAGCATTATGGTGCTGGATAGATGTACCTGCTGTGTTTGGATTATAATTCAACGCTCTTTTTATTAAACCGGCATTTCGTTTTTATGTGCATCACGTTTATTGTCATATAAAGATACGCTGGGGTTATTTCGCCAATATTGGATACAACATTGTTCATTTTAACAGAAATCCGACACACGGTTGGTAGTATCCGTCTGACAATAAGATACGCGTCTGATTTTGATCCATTTGACGTCGGCCGGAGCTCGACTCGATATACGTACAAGCACGTTTGTTAGACGGTGTTGGTCGGCAACTTGTTCTTACAAAGGCTCACGAACAGAGTCAACGCGGAGGCCAGTTATTCTAATAAGCCAGCACGGCCGCTCCGGCGTTCAAAACTTGGCCGAAGGCCCACTTCAAGCCGGAAAAAGACTGAACTAATTGCATTAATTATGTAAAGGGCTCCAATAGGCTCTAGTGAGCCCGCGACGTCATGAAAAGCGGAGAGCATAGAAAAAAATATTTGCCAATCATTTTCCGTGAAAAATGTGTCATTAAGTTTTTGACCTAAGTACAAGAGTTTGCTTTATTTAGTTAACCTAGTTGCGCTTCATTTGCATATATGTTTTATGCAATGATATTTAGATTATCCAAAAATAATCACCACAGTGGTAACCTAGAGAATATATATGAACTTGCATTAACGATTCCGTAGTAATTTGTGTATGACTTTTGAAAAATGTACTTGCACAGTTCCATTGGAATAGATAGTTTACAGATAATTACACAAATTGCAGTGACGTTACGCAGCGTACGCAATATTAGTCTATATAAATGTGAGTGTATGCGCGCTAAAACTTGGTATTTTCGTGATCTACATAAAGAACGAGATTATGAGTGTGAGATTACAGCTAGCTGGTGACTGGGAATCGTGCGTTTCACATAACGAAAATGACCAACATGGAAGGTGGCTGAGATATAGTACAACAGTAACCAAATCGAATAAATGCAAGATAAAATATTACGAATATTTTGCGTAATGCTACTGCGTGACAACTGGACCTTTCGATCCCTGTGACCTGCTTGGGTATCGAAGCCAAGATATGATTTACGTTAAGACACAATTTTGGATTATATGGATAATGCAAATACATGTACGTAGTAATGTCGAACAGAAACGCTTCTCTAGTTTCTTTGTTACAGCTGCATATCTTACATGCGAGAATTTCTAGTTCGCTGTCTGAATCGTTGTACACTTTGTAGCATCTAATAGCCACATGTTTAGGCTAAGGGCAATATAATATTTCTACAATTGGAGATTTTTGAAAATAGCATGGCGCAACAATGAGTTAAAAACAACATTAAAATCTTTCACTAAAACAAGGTAAACCTCTCAGGAAACCTCTTGGTGGCTACAAAATATAACACAATAACTAATACTAATGAGAATTGATCCATACTGATAGTGAACCTTTTTGCTATTCGTATATTCCAAACAATTCTAGAAGTAAGCCCAAAATGACTGACAAGAAATGAATGAACTTGAAAGGACTAGCTTTTTACACAACATACCTGAAAATGGAAATGTTAGAGTCTGGTAAGTTACCTAATGCTACTAAGTTGTTCCTAATGTTCGTCTTCTAAAGTGATCTGTTGCTCCGTTACTTTATGCACACTATACCCATTTAGCATTGAAGTGCATCTAGCTGTTGCTACTGTGCTCACATAGACTTAGGCTGAATGCTAGCGGCTGCCCGCTTACGCTTTGTCGGGTTTCAAGCTACTCCATCACCCGGGTGGCCGTCAAAAAAGAGCTAACAGCTGCCACTTTATTAAGGCAGACAGGCAGTAGCTACCAATGTGCGTAACGATATATACCAGTAAGATATGTACTCAACATGCACCGCTCGAATACATAGCACATGTGATTACAGAGCTTCCTGCGAATTGGCAACCAACTGTACTATTATTTATCTAGTAGGAACCTGGCTGATGATAAATTTATATCACATAATTAAAAATGAATAGAAAATAAATAATCGCACTAAAATACAGAATACAGATTCGCTAGATCGCTAGAGGGAAATGTTTAACTATATTTATGACCAATTTTGATCACCGCTGAGTATATGAACTTTTTCGAGAGGTCGACAAGTTATTAGTTCTTGACAGAACGCCAAGCTACTTTACAACTATTCTACTGAGAAGTTACTCAATTCGTTTTTATTTGACCTATCAGCGTCTGTCATGTAAAAAGAGCTATTGAGGGGCTAAAGATTCGAATATGGTTTAATATATGATCCCTCCAGTTCGAAAGTTTAAAAGACTCCGAATTTTCCAGCTATATTAAGTTAGCCTATAGGGGGGCATATCGGCAAAATAGTGCTCGAACTTTGTTGCAGCTATGGCAGGGTAAGCATAGCGATGGATTCACAACAATGGAAGGTTCGATTCCACAGAAGTACCGTGATTCCACATATTGAGTTTTTGCTCTTCGTTCACCGTGGGATAACGTTTAATTAAGCTCTAAGACACAATATATCTGAAATAAACCTCTTAGTGCAAAGCACTTAACGTATAGAGATTGAATGGTTTCAACTTTTACGACAAAAAGTCTTCTTTCATCAGACTAGCTGCTGAAAAGAACCGCTCTGTTTTGTCGTAGTATGTTAATGAAACATCTTGGCTAGTGACCTAAAATGTCACTTACCAAAACATACAACCTGGAAATAATGTTCACTGCAAAAAATTCGATCAAAAACATTCGATAAAAAATTCTACTACGAAATGGCATGTTTCTAATAACACATTTAACAGCTCTGACCAATTCTAATCATAGCCACTTTATAATAGGAGGGTCTATATATTTGCAATGCAGAATATTGCACAAAGCTTACAATCTGCTTTATTACCTATTATCAGGGAGCTTTTGAGAATTCCAAGGAGCGCTCCCATACTACAACGCGGACGATCCACAATAAATAGATAGCTTATTAACACATATTAACACATGTACTTAAAACACATATTTAATGATACTAATATTTTAACTCACACAGTTAAGACCACTGGTAACACGCCTGTTGCTGTTTATCGCACAGTTTATGAGAATTTCAAGTTATCTGGTTACATTATTGAAGTTAGGCAGATGCTTTGTAAGGAGGCGAAAGTTAAGAAATTGTTGCTGATCCACTCTTTAAAGATATATGAGCTATTGAGCATCGCTGATGCAAGAGTCACTAAGAAAGAAAACTGTTGCTTTGCTTAATACGTTAAGGATGTATTTATTTTGGTTAAGACTAATTTTTTTATGCATGGTGATGCCCTCTAAAAAAAATGAAGCAGTGAAAACAGCATGAAGTTGCACTGCCTTGGAAAGCCAAACTGTTAGAAAATAAGTATAATGTAATACAATATACACTGTGACGAAACCGCAATTTACAATGCATGGAGCAAAATACCATCCAGCTTGTGTCAAGACTAATTATACACGTAAATGCGTAATTATGTTGAAAACTGCCTCTATGATGATTCATATGTTTGGACAAATTGACAGCTTAGAATCGAATTCACTGTATCACAGACCTAGAAAAGAAAGTTTTGCAAATAACTTATAAAACATTTTGAGTCCACAACGAATCACAGTTATAGTAAACAAACACATTTGTTTAGGTGATCCCTCGCGTAAGAACTTTTTGCTTTTTTCGAATGGACGTTTTTATTTCGATGCGACCTTTTAGCAAACCACTCCAAAATATGCTCAGATTGGGCACATCTACTGTAGATATACGGTACCACCATTTACATTTATGAATTTATGTAAGCTGGTAAAACCATATTTAAGACTCGCATAAACTCTGCATGGGTCTTTGTTCTTTCCAAAAATTCATTCGTATACGTTTAGCGCGAGTGCTTCTTCGATATTATTGAGGGGCTAATGTATGAGCAAACGTTGCTGCACATCGTCATTGCAGATTTGAAGTGGTTAAAGAATATGACGAAAGAGAGCAACAGTACCGTTTATTGTTATTAAGCTTCACCACAGAAACAGTCTACTTTTTTGTAATAATATCTCAACTCAGTAAGTGCGTGCGAACATAATAACCTTCAAATAAAAAAATTAACCTTCAACATTCCGAGCGTTATTTGCGATCTAGTGACGCTTTATAGGGGGCTGTACAGCATAAAATAAATACAGCACATAACGTTCGTTGAGAAATTTGAACATAATAGAATAATTGTCACGAGATAACGTAATCGGCTTAGCGACAAACTTCCGCTTTATTTGGACCGTTAATTATGCTAAGCATCATACCAGCGAAACTTATTCATGAAGCTACTTTGCATAACGCGGATTGGTTGCTAATTCAATCTCAACTCATGGTAGTAACTCGAGCTGGGTCGGATGCTTTTTAAGCTATTTACGACGCAGCATTAACTGAACAAGCACATTTGAGTTTCGCAAGGAGAGCAAGGTGGCGAACAAACCCTTTATTGGCTCTTAGTTATATCTGCTACAAACCGGAAAGACGAAATGTTTACTCTCCAAGCAAGCATGAAGGTCAGCAATGGCAAACTCAAAATTTAAGTAAATAAATATATACAAATAATTTCAAATTCTATAGTGTGAGGTATTTATCTAATGAATAAAATAAATGAACATTTGAATCTAAGGTAAACTAGATTAAAACTGAAGTAAACTTCGCCTGGTGCGCATAGACGTATACCAACTGAAACCAGGCACGAATAAGGTCCGGACATCAACACTGTTCCAAAAGCTTTCCATACTCCAGGTGGTAATTGGTTCCCTTGGCAACAGACATACTACAATTTCGACGTGTTGACTTGAAGTGATAGACGGAAATAGAAACGGATTTTTGGTTTGAGCTCACTGACGAGACGCATACGGCGCAATGTGCGTGAAATTTAGCAAGCATAAAGCATTCTCTACTATTAATAACAGTGTATAACTATATACTGTTATATATACTATATATATAATAATAAGAAAGAGCGAAAGGAAAAGTAGAACGTAAACCCCTCACTAAAAGATTCGAACACCAGCTGACGCAAAAGTAATAGTCGCAAATATTGGAACTAGGAGCCCTAAACAATACGACTTACGAGTTTTAAGAAAAATTGTTTACAATTATGCTTGTGTTACGCGTTAAACGTGTTGACCCATGTGTGGTCCCATAATACCATTAGCAGCTTCACACCAAACAGTAGAGATTAACCTTGTTTATCAAGTTGATAGTTACACGCTTCTGGAAAAAGCCGCATTATTAGATTATTGTATCAGTTTGATTACGATAATATATTTTTTCCGCAAAAACTTTGCAATACAAATAACAGGAATCGAGCTCTTTAACGGCGATATCAAGCGATCACCCCCGTCGCTTGTACCGTCTAAACCAAAGTCCAAAGGTTAAAACGTAACAATAATTAACGCTCAACGCTAATAATAACTGTTTGTGCGACTATTATTGTGAATAACGCTAAAGGAAAATCATGTTTAAGCATTCGTATTGCTGTTATAAATTTCTTACGAGAAAAATCCGCTCTTTGTTCGAAAACTTCCGTACAAACATTATGAATAAATTAAGTATACAAAAATTGGAATTCAAGATTATTAACCTAAAAATAAACCTTCAAAAAAACCTAATAGCATAATTTTTAACTGACCCTAAAAGGAAGCCAAACAGTTACTTTACTAAAAATGCTCATTCTGCAGCCATTTAATTTTATGCTATATAAAACTTTTGAATTATAATATCCTATAATAAGCACTTCGGGACCCGCGTAACCAAACGGATGTCCATGAAAACGTAACAGTCCTAGTGTACAGGCAAAGATTAAAATTTTGCGACACATTGTACTTTGAATATGGTCCTGCATATTTCGAATACTGGGTGGTAATGAAAACGTTATCCAGAAAAGATACCGTTATTTTTATGCTTCTCGTTTAGATCGCTTAACACCTTGATATATCTTCATGTGGTAGAGCAGCCGTTAAAAAATCTGATGTCTGGATGAGACGCCAAAGCTTTCTTAATCGAGAAAAAAGCTCTAAGCGCCTTCAACATTATTTATTCGCTTGTAGAATGTAGAATAATGCGAACTTCCTTTAAATAACGTTACAGCTGGTGAAATACACCCCGTACTCATCAAATTTTCAAATAGATAACTTCAACATATTTTCGAGCCCACCTTATATTATAATTTCGAAAAATTACTACAAGATATTTCGAATTAAGCTTTAAGTCCAGTTTCGACATTACCGTTGACAGGCTCGCAGTTACCAAACCTACTAACGCGTACGGCTACGGTTAACTTTCGATTAACACTTCAAAATTCATTTTTTAACATTGTTTACAAAACAATAATGAAACAAGTCATTTTTGCCTGCGTTTAAATTTGTGCAATGAATCGGACTATTGATTTAGATCGAACTCCACTTATAAGTAATTTTTGCACTTCAGAATATGAATGTTTATTTTCTAATGTAAGCATCTAACGCAAATATTCAAGGACGCGTCGGTGTGTACAAATACATAAAATCTATGCTAATATATCTTACAGTAAAAGTAACTTATAGATGAGTACATGTCTTTTGATAACTGTATTTCGTTCAAAAATCATCTCATCCTGCAGGCAAATGTATGCGTTGTGTGCATTGATTCAACCATCATTCATTATTGATTTTGATGATTTTTTTCGAGGTCATATATGCTCGAATACATCACTACTTAGATCGCAAATAATCCTTAAGAGTGTTAAATATGCTAACAAACTTACACTGGAATGTTGCATTTGCAACGTACAATAACGCTAATTAGAGACTTGTTAAATGCGGCAAATGGCGTAACTGTAGTCCGGTAAAGCAATGCGTTTTTGATGGAGTTCTAAGGACGTCACTGTTTTCAGGTCACAATGCAGACTGTTGTAATCATCCTTAAAAAGAATTTACCCAAAACGGATTTTCAATTTCGTCGTAATGGTATGAAACTTGATGTCCCTATTACACAGCTATTTGAATTATTTGCTATCAGTTTTCAACCATATATGGATGACTGGCAGTCAACACATGTCTTACCTAAAAATATCCAGCCCAGGTATAGTTACGGCTTCTTGATGATGATCTTTGGAGAAGTTTGAGCTAAGCATAATTCCTCGTTCTTGTTGATCGTTTTACCCACTAGCACATAGTATTTCAACACTTCACGAACTTCACTGCTGTCACGTGCTTCAGATAATAGTCACTAACGTGTGTTACGTGTTGGGCACATTTTTCATTCTTCTCAAGTTACTCAACAGAGTAACAAGCTTGGAAACTTGGCTTCCACTCCTTGAGAGAACACTAACTGACTACGCAAGGCAAGCTTTGCGCGATCCGTAGGTATTGCTTTCCATTGGCGTGAACAACTCTGTTTGTCGATTGCTGAACCGGCTGAGGATTATTAGTTCGGTGCCTGATCCTCTTCTCGAATCTTTTGATGTTCCTCTTCTCTGATCTGTTCAACGGAGCTGCCTCCTCTCAGTTGTTGTCGATGGTCGTAGCGCACGATAGGCGCGGATGCTCAGAGGGCGGTCGCTAGCGGTGCTCGTCCGCCCTTACATGCGAGCCGGCCCCGTGAGGCGGGGCCTAAATAGGAGGAGCATTAAAACATTCGTGGTGAGTGGAGTGGACAGCAGGAAAGATATAGCGACAATACAAAACAAAACAAGAAGAGACGAACCGGAGCAACGTCGCCACAATGACCGATCACACAGTGACTACGGTGGCTATATCGACAATGCTATGCGACGGTGGGATGCATCATCTCCCCTGAGAAAATATGATCATGCGCCAATCGTGACTAATTGTTTTTTGTGCATTAATACTAAGCTAAGATTTTTCCTTAATAAACTTAAAACAATTTTATTTCCATTATTCGTTGAATGATATATATGAAAGGGGTGTTTAAAAGTCTTATAATACAAATATTTGGTGAGAACGAATTAAAATGACTTTATTTATCGTCGTGGTCCACATGTATCTAGGATGAATATAGTCTAAAAAGGCTATAATTAAACAGAAATATTTACACTACAACTAAATGATGCACTTTAAGTCACTTATGTAAGTTGGATTTTATTCCTAAACTCTATTTTTCAAGTTATGTATTCACTTCAATTTACTCGCGGAGGCATGTTTAGCTAAGGCGTCTACGTATTAACTGCTAATATCACTACCTAAGTCAGTCAAAGCTTAACATTATATCGATTAAAGGGAACGCAATAGTAAACAGTAAGCTAAACGATCTATAATAAATCGTACTTACTACAGGACTTTCATATAATATTTATCTTATCACATAGCTTTGTTTGCTGGTAATCTAAATAGATGTCCACTAAACAGAACGGTACATTCCTGAGTACTTGTTTTTTCGCGAGTCGATTTTGATAGCGTTTTTTTGATACAGTGCTGGTAAATTTTTGATTTCTGTAAGATGAGCAGTTCGTAGTTTCCTACAACCGAATTGGTTTTTTAGCAAGACTAGTGTACGCCTACTGATATCCACCTAGAGAAGTGCAATACTAAAAACTTATCATGATCGGTTATGAAAATTGATTTTTGTTGTTAAGTATAAAATATTAGGCATACATTACCATGGGAGCTATCTGCACATAAAGAATAATATATAGCCTCATATTGCAAACATGTCCGACCCTGTGGGTTTAATTTGCTTTAAAGTATTTACACATACTTTTTATCTTATGGGTACTTCCTGTACTCGCTGTTGGCTTATGCGTAATTCATGCTTATTGGTAATTTCTCAACAAAGGCTTTCCTTAGTTAACTATAGTACCAGTAAATACAAGATCTCAGTACATATGAGAATTTAAGCGCCCAAACAGAATTCTATCACAAAGATAGGCTGAATCCAGTGCCATTGTCCGCTTTCCTGGCGGAACCACCTTGAGTACTACTCAGTTCAAGGTGTCTTGTTGAAGGGGTATATATGATGTGTTTCATAGTACACTAAACATTTTTGTTCGTTTTTAACTTTCAGTGGTAGGTGGTGCAAGCCGCCGTCTTGGAGGTTATCGAACGTACGAAAGTGAAATTTGTTTAAACAATTTCATTGGTAGAAAGCATAAAACTACGTCAACAAACTGTTGTATTTGGAACTCATTGAACGTGAGAGTGGTATTGAGAATTCCACTACACCCTGACAAAGTGACAGTTGGTACTGATCTTTGAGCCAGTGGTGTCAATCGGGGTCAATTTACGCACTCGGCTACTCTCGTGCCAGTGAACCGAGATTATGATCAACATATAAACCAGAAGGATTAAGCAACATCAATTTAGTTTAATCGCCTGTTTTCAAGTGCGATTAAATTTGTAGAAAATTGTGAAGCACTCTGCATACACAGAAAAAGTCAGCATATATGGAACCTCTACAGTTCATATGTAAAATAGTCATACATTGGCCAGGCTTACAATTTGTACATTTGCTCCACGCCCGTATTGTGAATCCGCTCAGTCGTATACCTTTCATTATTTGGAATCAAGAACTTGAAAATATGGGGTCCTGGCTAACGACGGGAAAAGGGACACTTTTTTCTCACCGAAACCACATCTCTTGTCTTAGTCACATAATAGCTCTAAGACACAAAATATTAGAACCACTGAAATAGCTTTGACAAACAATCTGGCCTCACTTCCGGAGAAGACAAATCTGCAGCTGACTGGGCGTCGGTTGCATGCCTATATGAGCAAGAGGTCCTAACGAATAGAGTTCAGTCTTAACCGATTGCTACCTCCAACTTGAAACACTTCTGGTAATCCGGTACATGCTTCATTTCGTAGTTTTTTTACATTTGTCTATATCCGTTACGCCTAAAACACCTTATGGTGAAGCTTTACCTTCTTGCAACTTTAACTTACAGGGATTTTTTTTGTAAATGCTAGAAAAAATTGGTTTCTACTGACTCTATTTGAACATAAACAGAAAAAGTATCCGAATGCGTTTGACAAGCCCGTCTTAAGTGGCTTATCGGAAACCAGAGAACCTAGATAACATCTTTGTACGAACCATATCTCCTGAGGTGCTCTTTAAGTGTAGCACTTTCTTTAAGTGGGGCTCTTATACGACTTGATGTCTCAGTTAACAATGGTTTCTTTAAGTTTTTCTAAGAGGCGGAATAAATGCATGAACACCCAATGTAATATCGGATTCAAACTAGACAACAGGACTTGGTTTCACCAAAGCTAGCACTTACTGGATCAAGACCTTGCTTTTTAGCTCTTAGGCTTGCAGCCTTGAAAATGAGGCAGGCTAGTGACGTGTGGGCGTAGTCATCCGCTTGGCATAATCATCCTCTGCCTTTTAATCATAGTGGACACATACGTCCGATGGGGCTTTTTCAGTCCTATGTAAGTAGGACTGAAAATCCCCGTGGCCCGTTATAATATGTATTACGTGAAAGTCCGTTTCTACTCTGCGCTCCAATCTCTTCCCGATATCGTGGATTAGGTTACGGACTCCGGTTTCTGAACTTGTATAACCGATCACGCAGCCTGCCACGCCTATATTATAAATTGACGCTCAGTTTCCTTCGCTATCTCATAGACGCTTCCTCTCTTTAACCGTTACCACAGTTGCACGGCAGTATTCTAACCAAAACAAGGGCCACTAAGGTACTGACCAGCCTATATATTTAAAAATTTTGCAGTGCAATCGTTTTTTGTTTTACAGAGGAGCTGTTGCTTGTTTTGAAGCCTATAGACAATCCGAAATAAACTGGACCACCAAAGAACGCTATTAAACTGGCGACTGACATCAGAAGCCTTCTTCTGCCCGTATGTATATATCAGATAAGATTCTTGTTTGTTTGTCGTTTTACTAACTTTCGCTATAGTCATCCTAACCGGAGTAACCCTGTAAGTTTCCGCCCATTTGTATACCTGGATATCTAGCAGTCTCTACCATCCTGTTTCGTATGTCCCTAATCTAAAGATTGATTTCTGCCACGCGTTTTTCTTTTATGAGTAGGATGCGGTTACTCTGCTCCGTGGCAAGCTCTATTTCACCTTTAGTAATCCATTCTGAGATTGCGCTCACTTCCGGATTGCTGTGTAGCTCTATCAGCAGTTGCTTCGGTCTGTACCGTAATAGTCAGGTCGTCTGCATATACCAGAAGCTCTACTCTGCTCGGAAAATATTGCAGTCTTAGGACATCATCGGGAAACAGAACTCCAAATAACTCACATGCAGAAGCACCGGATTTTTGCATTTTTTCAGCGAAAGAAGTGGAGCTTGAGGCGGAAGTAAAACAATTTATATCGTGTCCCAGAACGTTAATCGGAAATAACCAATATATATAACTTTGTATCTAGCGGAGGCATAAGGCAATAGAAAATCCAGAAATGAAAAAAAATTTAAAGTTTAAAGTTGCGAAACCAAGCTCATGCGGATGCTGCGACCGAAAAATGTCCGCTGTAAAGACATACGTCGTTTGCGTATTATATTATCATTATATGCATCATACAATTCATTATTAATGTTCTAGATCACAAAGTAAAATTAAAAATATTATAGAGGCACGTTGCGACTTACTTTTGTATTATTTTTGGCAATACAATAGAAACCAATATTTCGTTAGAGAAAAAAAAACAATGCGATTTCGTTTGCAAAAAGTAGTCGGACTATAATGACTAATTTGAAAATGACAATTGAGGACAACAATGTTTTTCCCATTCCACCCTTAGTATAAAATGAAATAGTAATGGTTTCGTAGAAAAAAAACATGTTCGCCAATGAAGCTAAGAATATTTAAAAGAGGGCTGTGATTCTCGCTAGATAATGCGTCATAATCATTGCTTACTAGGCTGGATAAGTAGAAGACTGTTATTTGTAAACCATAGGCTGTCATTAAGACTTACTGAACAGTTAAAAGCCAAGTTTTGACTCCCTTGAATTGTTACAAGTAGACCAAAATATTTGCAAGAGATGAAAGGGGCGTTTTGTAACCTAACATAATGTTTTAATTCGTACTCTACACGAATAAACTTCTAACATTTTGTTTTGGAAAAATATAGCTCTGGAATATGCGAAACTATAATTGAAGGGCTTGGTTAACTTTCTTCGATTAATCCCATGTATTACAAATTACTACCTGCCCATCCCATATAACTTTAAATATTGAATCTGGCTTTCATAATGGCACCATGTCCGTCCCAAATAAGCTGTTTAACACTACTTGCTTTTAAAATCAATGTTCCGTTAACAGAAGAAATAACCTGCCACGTACAACCCGACTTGTCCTTAACCAGAAGTAAACGAGAAAATTAAAAAGCTTTGATTTTCGTAGTGTAGTTCAATAGATTATTCCAAATTAAATAGCTGTTTATGTTGAAAAAGGTGTTTGATAAAATGGTGAAATATTATAGTAATGGATTAGGCTATATATCATATGAATTTAGAGAACCTGGTGCCTTTGCCTGAGTTTTAACAATAATTCCATTTCGTTGAACTTAAAAATTAGTTGTAGTCGCCACAAAGAAACATGACAACCCGC